GCGATGGGCAGTTCAACTTAAAACTTAAGTAACTAGAGTGGGCTGGAGAATTTACACGTTTTTTTTGACTTAAAAATGCTCGGTTATCCAAAAAGAAAGTAATTTTTTTCTATTTACCAGAAAAGCTGAATCGTCCCAACGATCTTTGGGGAATTTCGACACAGTCTGCTATGATTGCTGAGCGGCACATAAAACGCTACAGTTTGAGAAATAAATACGACCGACCGTATAATTGGTGCTGGGATGGCAGAAATGACTCTTGCAACAGTAAAATGTGTTTTTATAGTTGTGAAATCCAGCGAATATAGGCCTCAAAAGATGTTATATGCAAATTGCATTAGTGTGTGATGTTACTTGGAATGCCCATATAGCTTCGCCACGTTCTTCGCTGTTGAGCTGTACACTTTCAATCAGTGCCCAGCGCCTGTTTGATGTATGTGCGCTGTCTTTTCCCGAGTTTTAAAACGGTCATTTGCTTTCTCGTGGGTACCATTCACTAATGCACAATGTCCAGCAGCTTCCGGTGAGATAAGCAACATGTCCTGGCCATCGAATTTCACTTGCTGCCATGTCATTCTGTTTTGGATACTGTTCGCGTAGATTACAACAGGAAACTTATCGAGCAGAGACGGTGATTGTGATAAAGTCACGTCCCCTAAAGCAATGATAAAAGCTACTTTTCTTAACAGAAAGGTATTTCGAAGTAAGAAGAACAGAACGAAAAATAATATTAAGAAATTAGCAAAAGTTGTAAAATTATATTAATAAAATCATTATGATGGTAAGAAATGTCCCTGTCCATTAGGTCATATGCATTTCTTGCCATTACCACATTGGACCTCGTCAGTACGACAATTGTGGTAATTGTAATTGGCATAAATTAAATTAGTTATATTAACATACTAGTAGAAGTATATGTTAGTTAAAGTAGAAAGTATTATATGCAAGGTAAAGCAGCATCGTACCGAAGTGTCGGCTTGTTGGCTACATATCCAATTTCAAATAAGTATCGGCACAAATTGAATTTAAATTATACTAACAAACTGAACAAGCTGGTTAAAGAATTTACTGAAGCAATTTGGATCGCTTCTGAACATTAATTGTGTTGTATTTTGATGGCCCACACTTTTACTTAGAATGGTAAGCAGTGGTGATCTTGAGATGACAGTCAAAAGAGTGACCCTGTTCGACTTCACTGTTGCTGACCACGATTTGTGTCATCTTTTTTTGTACAGCTGGCGTAGGGGATTCTGCGACAGGGTAATCACCTTATAAAAATATCTCACAAACATTTGTTATCTCTTTCCAGGTTTTGTTTCCTAGCGAAGCGATTCACAATTCAATGCAGGAACGAATTTTTAACAAGAAACTTTATCTTGAAACCAGTAATTATGTACAAGAATCAGCACATACGAAAATGATGTAGTGAATGGTGAGATCGTAAGAAAATATGTCTGCAGGCATAATCTGAACAAAATGCAATGAAAAGCAAAATCATCAAATCATTAAGCAAATTTACTGCTGTTAATACCTTTCTAAGAATTTTTCTTCTTGGAAAAAAAATCCATTTTTCAGGGTTTTCGCAAGATTTTCATCTTCCAGAGGCTTATGCAAAATTTTCTGTAAAGTTATGGAGATTACGAAAGCATAAAAATTATGGTAAGATTCATCGCTTCCGCCACTATTATTCATAAAAAACGATGACCGAAAAATAAGGGGCCGAAAAGAGGAGGGGGAAGTAGTTTCTTCCTAAATCACCGACTACATCGCTATTTCATAAAACTAGTTCTAAAATATTTCCAAATTTTCATTTGCAAAATTTGTTACTTTATTTTTTCATAAAAAACAAACAACAGCGGGATGAGCTCTTCACTACTAATAGCTCCCTTACAAAACCCTGAAATGACCGCTGAGCTCTGACAGGAACAAGTTTTTTTCCTCTGAATTTGCGTATTCGAAATAAAATTCAATGAACTGGATGATAATTTACGGCCCAGTTCTTTGAATTCAACTTTTTTTCATCCGCATTAAATATAGGTAAAGATGGGGAATACAGCCCATGTCTAAGGGCATCCATTGGCCTGCCGAAGGACGAATATAGCCAGTTAATCCTTATCCTTAACGAGATCGAAAAATTCCGGATACGGAATCAAATCAGCCATTTCCAGTGCTACTTTATTAGGGCATGATGAAATTGGACACAAACATGGCTTTCCTTGCTCGCTGCAGAAGGCGATGTTAACTTCCACGGAACTCCGATCATACACATGCTTGCAGTGCTGAAAATAACTTGTTTAGAAGACTACCCAGGCCTTTCACAATGCAGCTCAGAGGATCAAAAATTGACGGCTTTCAGCTTGCTTCTAAGCAGTTCTCCAAAAAGAAAGCCACGGACAGTTTTGCCAACCAGTGATTTTTGCTATCAAAATAATACCACCTCTGAGTGCTTGCCCTTTTCACAGAAAACGATCTGTAGGAATAGTAATTCAAATTAAAAAAAAAAAGAAAAGAAAAACGCAATTTTTTTCCTCCCGAAACTGCAAAGATGTAAAAATAAAGAAAAGCAAAAATTAGTTCCAAGAAAAACCAACTTTATTCTGAACGGGATCTTTAATATCACGCTTGGTGTATGGGTCTTTTTTCGAGAGGTACACAAGTTCCACTTCACAATCTGCCTTTCTATTCGTTTTAATCGCTTTCTTTAAAGCATTTATTTTTTTCGTTGCCACTCCTTCCTGGTTTGGGTTTTCACACATCAACTCAGTCACCCTAAACAGTTTTAAGCAAATTATACAGGTACAATAATGCAACAATAATAAAAAGGGAGGAAGTAAATTTTTCAAAGATCACGAAAAAATCAGACTACAGGTAATATGTCAACAATGTTCGTGTAACGACAACCGATACAGGTAACCACCCAGTGTTGCTCGTATAATGCTCGAGTATGGTAACCAACAACATCTTATACAGGTAAATAGCCTATCTAGAATATGTAAGTGCAACCCGC